AACAACAGACTCTGAGGAAATCCAGAGAATCATCAGGTCATACTTTGAAAACCTGTACTCCACAAAATTTGAAAATTTAAAGGAAATGGACGACTTCCTGGATAGCTATCACTTGCCAAAACTAAATCAAAAACAGATAAGCAATTTAAATAGACCTATAACCCCTATGGAAATAGAAGCAGTCATCAAAAGTCTCCCAACCAAAAAAAGTCCAGGTCCAGATGGCCTCAGTGCAGAATTCTACCAGAAATTCAAAGAACAGCTTATACCAATTCTTCTCAAAATATTCCACACAATAGAAGCAGAAGGGTCTTTGCCAAACTCTTTCTATGAGGCTTCAATAACCTTGATCCCCAAACCTCACAAAGACACAACTAAGAAAGAGAACTTCAGACCAATATCCCTCATCAACATTGATGCAAAAGTACTCAATAAAATACTGGCAAATCGGATCCAAGAACACATCAAAACAATCATTCACCACGATCAAGTAGGTTTCATCCCAGGGATGCAGGGATGGTTCAACATACGAAAATCCATCAACGTAATCCACCATATAAACAAGCTGAAAAACAAAAATCACATGATCATCTCACTAGATGCTGAAAAAGCCATTGACAAAATCCATTGCCCCTTCATGATAAAGGTATTGGAGAGATCTGGGATAACAGGGACATACTAAACATAATAAAAGCAATATACAGTAAACCAACAGCCAACATCAAACTAAATGGACAGAAACTCAACGCAATTCCTCTAAAATCAGAAACAAAACAAGGCTGTCCACTCTCTCCATACCTTTTCAACATGGTACTTGAAGTTCTAGCCATTGCCATACGGCAACAAAAGGGGATCAAGGGGATACAAATTGGGAAGGAAGAGGTCAAACTTTCACTGTTTGCAGACGATATGATAGTTTACATCAATGACCCAAAGAACTCTACCAGGGAACTCTTACAGCTGATTAACACCTCCAGCAAAGTGGCAGGCTACAAGATCAACTCAAGAAAATCAGTAGCCCTACTATATACAGATGATAAAAGGGCTGAAAAAGAAATCAGAGAACCATCACCCTTTATACAACTGCCACAAACAACATAAAATACCTTGGGGTAACGCTAACCAAACAAGTGAAAGACCTGTATCACAAGAACTTTGAATCTTTAAAGAAAGAAATTAAAGAAGCCCTCAGAAAATGGAAAGATCTCCCATGCTCTTGGATAGGTAGGATCAATGTAGTAAAAATGGCAATCCTGCCAAAAGCAATCTACAGATTCAATGCAATCCCCATTAAAATCCCAGCACAATTCTTCACAGACCTTGAAAGAACAATAATCAATTTTGTATGGAAAAACAAAAGACCCAGGATAGCCAAAACAACCCTGTTCAACAAGGAAATGTCCAGAGGCATCACCATCCCTGACCTCAAGCTCTATTGTAGAGCTATAGTCCTGAAAACAGCTTGGTATTGGCACAAAAATAGACAGGTAGACCAATGGAATCGAATTGAAAACCCGGATATTAACCCACACACGTATGGACATCTGATCTTTGACAAAGAAGCTAAAAATATACAATGGAATAAAGAAAGCATCGTCAACAAATGGTGCTGGCATAACTGGAGGCTGGCATGTAGTAGAATGCGGATCGATCCATGTTTATCACCATGCACAAAACTTAAGTCCAAATGGATCAAAGACCTCAGCATAAATCCAGCCACTCTGAACCTCTTAGAAGAGAAAGTAGGTGGTACCCTTGAAGGAATTGGTACAGGAGACAGATTCCTGAACATAACACCACTAGCACAGACAGTGAGATCAACAATTAATAAATGGAACCTCCTGAAACTGAGAAGCTTCTGTAAGGCAAAGGACACAGTCAGCAAGACAAAAAGGTAGCCCACAGAATGGGAAAAAATATTCACTAATCCCACATCTGACAGAGGGCTGATCTCCAAAATTTACAAAGAACTCAAGAAGCAAGTCTCCAAAACACCAAAGGACCCAATTAAAAAGTGGGCTGCAGAAGTAAATAGAGAATTTTCAATAGAGGAGTCTAAAATGGCTGAGAGGCACTTGAGAAAGTGCTCAACATCCTTAGCCATCCGGGAAATGCAAATCAAAACAACTCTGAGATACCATCTCACTCCTGTCAGAATGGCTAAAATCAAAAACTACAATGACAATTTATGTAGGAGAGGATGTGGTGAAAGCAGGACACTCCTCCATTGCTGGTGGGAGTGCCAACTGGTTCAGCCACTTTGGAAATCAGTATGGAGATTCTTCAGAAAAATGGGCATAAACCTACCACAAGACCCAGCAACTCCACTCTTAGGCATATATCCAAAAGATGTCCATTCATACAACAAAGGTGTCTGTTCCACTATGTTCATAGCAGCATTATTTGTAATAGCCAGAACTTGGAAGCAACCTAGATGTCCCTCAGCCGAAGAGTGGCTAGAGAAAATGTGGTACATTTACACAATGGAGTACTATTCAGCAGAAAAAAACAATGGAATACTGAGATTCCCAGGCAAATGGATGACACTAGAAGAAACCATCCTGAGTGAGGTAACCCAGTCACAAAAAGAGAAACATGGCATGTACTCTCTCATATATGGATTTTAGACATAGATCTGGGGAGTGCCAGCCTACAATCCCATGGCCAGAGAGTCTGGGAAACAGAAACTTCATTCAGTGGCTGATCGAAGAAGAGGCAGACTCCCTCGGTTAAGTACTGAGCTGAACTCAAGAAAGCCAGTAACAGAGAGGGAGGACTGATGACCAAAGGGATTAAGACTGGGCTGGTTTAACCCCCAGAAACAGCTGACCTGACAAAGGTGATCTCTTGAATCCCAGGCATCAACCTGGGAAGCCAGCATGGGACTGATCAAGACCCCCTGAATGTGGGTGTCAGTGAGGAGGCTTAGGTAATCTATTGAGCCTTGGGCAACAGATCAGTACCCATCCCGAGTATACACACGGACTTTGGACTCCTATCCAACAATGTGAGGTGAACTCTTACCCTGAACTCTTGGGGAAGGGTCTAGGCCCTGCCCTATATGAAATGACAGACTATGGACACCCCCACGGAGGGCCTCACCCTCCCTGGGAAAATGAGGGGATAATGGGGGGGGCGTTGGCGGGAGGGGAGGGAAAGGGAGAGGGACCTGGAACTGACTTGTGAAGCAACCTTGTTTCTTTTTTTTAATTTTTCAGTTTAAATTTCTTTGAGGGATTTTCCTATATCCTCTTTTAGGGCCTCTATCATTTTCATGAAAGTGGTTTTAAGGTCGTTCTCTTCTGCTTCGTTCGCATTGGAATGTTGGAGTCTTGCTGGTGTGGAGTCTCTAGAATCTGGTGGTGTCATATTTGTTTTTCTGTTGCTGACTGTGTTTTTGTATTGTCTCTTTCCCATCTCTTCGTCTAGTGGGTGCACAAAGAGCCCCTTACTGGTCTGGGGACCAGAGTTCCCTTTTGGTGGGTGCTAGCAAGCCCAATAATCTGGTGGTTCTTCTATTCCTTGTCCTCATTCTGGTCCCTTGGGTGGAGAAGAAGAACAGGAATCTGGGGCACTTAGCTTCCCACCTGGTCCCCTGGACCCTTTGCTGGATCCTGTTGTACCTGATCCTGGGGCCAGAACAGCTGCTCCCCTGGTCTCCCTGGCTCCTCTGGTTTCCTGGTCTCGTTGGTGGGAGAGAAGACCTGGAGTCTCGGCAACCTTGTTTCTTATCTAAATTTAAACTGAAAAATAAATTTAAAAAAAGAAAAAAATATTAAGCTAATAGCTATAATATATACTCAATGGACCTGCTGCATACCCATGTAGGTCCTGTGCTCACTGCTCCAGTCTCTGTGAGTTCATACGCACATTACTTGGCTCATTAACAGTCCAATGTACTCCACCCCTTCTGGTTCTTACCATCTTTCCACCTCCTTTTGCATGGGTTTTCCTGAGATCTGAGGGGAGGGATTTGATGGAGGCCTCCAATTTAGAACTTCCTATCTGTCAATCTTACCAATCTGCCTAGAGGAATGTAATGACCAGTGTTGGATGTCAGCCTGATTGGCCTGAGAACTCTCTCTCTCACACACACACACTCTCTCTCTCTCTCTCTCTCTCTCTCTCTCTCTCTCTCTCTCTCTCTCTCTCTCTCTCCTCCCCCTCCCATCTTCCCCTCTAGCCCCTCTCCCTCTCCCCCTATAGCTCTTCCCCTCTCTCCTCTACCCCTACCTCCACTCTTTCCCGCACCTTCTCTCTCTTTTCCTGACCACCACGATGTGAGCTTTTCTGCTCCTCTGTGTTCTCCCTGCCACAAAGGACTGAAAGGTCTGAAACCCTGAGCCTAAGTAAACCTGCCCTTCTTAAATAGTTTTGTTCATGTGGTTTGTCATAGCCCTGCAGGATGCATATATGACCTTGCCCATCGTTGCCCACAGGTACCGATGGACCACTTCTACCTCGTGTAAGACAGTTCATTGAGAAGAAGCAAGTCTCAAGCACTGGCAACTACCAAGCTTTATTTAGTTCTCTCACACTACACACCTAACACAAGGCTACTGCAGCTCGCATCCTGGCATCCTCCTTCCAAACCCCAGTCTCACAGAAGCACCCTCTGTTCAGAACGTTGCCCGTCCTGGGGCAAATGAAAAAACAACACAAAGACAACCAAGAGCTGGTATTTTAAAGTTTCTGCTTAGGAAAAATGAGCATATCTATTGCTACTCTCCTTTTGTGAACCAGAATAAGACACGCATGACCAAGCTTACTACAAATGAGGCTAAGAAGTGCAAGCCTTCCTGTGGGAATAGACAGCAGCTATTGCTGACCTCAGAGGAATAATAGGATTACAGTACACAGCTCAGCCCTCTGGAGCTTGGAACTGAGTACGGTTTACATATTTAAGGGCATGAACAGTTTAGTTGTTGACATGTTTTTAAAAGAAAATGGAGATTTTAGTAACCATGCTGCATTCTTGGACTTTCTTCTGTCATCCACAGATAAAACCATTGGGTAGCAACATTATTAATATCCCCAGTGATGAGCATGGGATTATTCCAGAGGCTCTCACAAAAATACTTTCTCAGTGGAAGCCAGAAGATTCCAAGGACCCCACGAAAAAGTCTCCAAAACTTCTTTATACTATCCCAAATGGCAACAACCCTACAGGCTACTCATTGACTGGTGACCGCAAGAAGGAAATCTATGAGGTATTTACAAGGGGGTGACAGGGATATGTTCTGGCTTCTTGTTTGCCTTTTGGGAGAGTCTTCAATTCAAGTTGCTTTTCTTACTATCTTCTTGTTTTCAGGGAAGATAACTTTTAATAAAAGGGACTCTGACATCTATACCAAGGTTCCTACTGAAGTGATTCACAATAACGTGCCACATCTTCATTTCTGAATTTACTTTCATTTAATTGGTATTTTAATACATGAAAAATGGCATTCTTGACCACCTGTTATGAGAAGACATATGGTTTCCATTACTGGATGCTTGTGTTTGCCCTGTATTTTAGACTTGCTGGATCTATTTGCTACTCATTGTCATTCCAGGCTACAAAGCATTAAAAAAAACAATAGGGGACTCTTTTTTCTAAAATGTCTGTAGGTATCTATGGCGCCTTATATTATTGCCATTTTTTTAGTATCAAGCCTATACAGAGATGTACATAAATCTGAAAAACTAAGCTCAAATGCCTTCTGTAAGGTCTTGTTGCTGCACCTGAGTCTCTGCCCTTCCCCACAAATTGCTCTAAAAATAAGTGCTAAGCCTCATTTAACTACAAGGAACCTAACTGTGTGCAGTGGGCTCACAGACAGATTTCAACCAGTGCCTTTTATTTGAAAAACCTAAGGGTTCAAGATATTGCTTTGATATTTATATTTTATCTCATCTCCCCGGACTCTCTCCTAAGCTGTACTATCTACATATTCCCAGATGGTCACATTATCCGGTCCTACAGTGATAAATTTCATTTTGCATAAGATGATTTCCCCCTTTCTCAGCTCCATCTCTTCCCTAAACTCCAACCTGTGCATCATTGTGATATCTCCATAGATGTCCAATAGCATTTCAAACTTAATCTGGCTCAAGTAGAACTCCTGTCTTTCCTATAGCCGCAACCCTAAACCTGTCATGTACAACCAACTCCTCATGCTCTCCAGCCTCATTGGTAATGTCCTTGAACAATTACCTTCATTTCTCTTTTGCTATTCTCTCTTCCCCCTTCTTATATCCAATTCATCCTATGGACTCCACTATCAAGTTCTTCTAAGTTGATCCTTCTTCTTCACCATTATTCCTAGCCTCGATTCCTAATCTATTAATGTCTGTCCACACTGGATGACATCATGACATTATCACTCACCCTGTCGCAGTTGGTTCCTAGTCTCTAACTAGTCACTGTTTGAATGGCAACCAGTCCTAGCCCCTGCTATATGGCAAATGAGAAGTCAGCCTTGGGGCTTTAAAAATTCTAAAAGCTAAATAATTTCTTGATAAGTTTGTGAACCTGTGTGATGGATGCCATTACTCTGTTCTCTCTGTCTCTGTCTCTCTGTCTGTCTCTGTCTGTATGTCTGTCCCTCCCTCCCTCCCTCCATCCTTTCCTCCCTCCCTCTCTCTCCTTCTGAGCTGCACCACATATGCCAAAACCATATTGTCCCCTTTTGTCTTTTAATCGCCCCAAGTTTTTGTTCAGCCGATGATCTGTCCCTTCACTCATCCCTCCCTCAGTCTAGAATCCTCTTCCTTAATATCTGCATGACTAATTGATTCTGATCATCGTGAGTTCTAATTTTACCTTGTCAGGAAGAGCTCCCCAGAGGTTTGACCTGAGTAATTTTCTGTCTCAGGGTTACTATTGCTGTGATGAAACACCATGCATGACCAAAGCAACTTGGGGAGGAAAGGGTTTATTCTGTTTATCACAGTTCTTCATCAAAAGAAGTCTTGGCAGGAATTCAAGCAGAGCAGGAACCCTGAGTCTGGACACAGAGGCCGTGTAGCGGTGTTGCTTACTGACTTGCTCCCCATAACTTGCTCAATCTGCTTTCTTGTAAAGCCCAGGACCACCAGCCTAGAGATGGAACCACCCCTAATTGGATGTGTTCTCCCCCATAATCACAGATTAAGAGAATGCCTTACAGCTGACTCTTACAGAGGCATTTTTGAAATTGAGGTTCCCTCCTTTTGGATAACTCTAGCTGTGTCAAGTTGACATAAGACTCGCCAGCACACTGTCCTATCACTCTCCTTCAGATGTGACCTCCATTTAATTCTGATTCATTACCCAAATGGCTTATGCACATTCTGCCTTGCATGAGAAAAGGAGCCTTTGGCAACTCATTCAAGTCCAGCCTCAATGTCTGAGATAATAGGAACTCAACGGTTCATGAATGGATGAATGAGAACAACGAACTGTGATTCCAATCCTCTTAGACAGTTCTTAAGAGATAAATACATTGTTTTAATATTTTAGCTTGCAAGAAAATACGATTTCCTTATAATAGAAGATGATCCTTACTATTTTCTCCAGTTCAACAAGGTATGTGATCATGTGGGCTTATGTCACTGTCAAAAGTTCATTTGTGTTGGAAGTGAACCTGGCTTGAGTCAATGAACTTGAATAAATAGTGTGTTCTCTACTTTTTTAATCTTCCAGTTTTGCTAGTTTTCTTCTTTACAGTAATGCTCCTTCTGGAAATTAGTTACCTTTGGAATAGTAGCTAGATCTCTGAAACAGGCGTTTAGACGAGCAGAGAGCCCATCACGCTGATGGTGCTGAACTCCAAATCCTATTTCATATCACCTCAGACATCAAATGAGGGACATGACATTGGATTCATCTTGTATTTCAGCTTCAATGCGGTAATGGTAGCTGACTTGGGTGATAGCTAAGCGGGAATGAGATGGTATGTTAGCTAAAGAGGAAGGAGTGCTCAGTCAGTGCTCTCCACTGGTGGAGAAGACCGCACTGCAGCCACATGATTGCGCCTTTGTCACGTGCTCTGACCCTCATCTGGAGGATCACGGGTTTTCGTCTTTTTTTTTTTTTTAGTCATCCTCATTATAAGTGCATGCTACACTTCATGGTAACAGTTTTCTAGCAGACAGCAGCAGTGATACATGCTGCCAGTAAGTAGCCAGTAGATGCCCTTAGGACTGCAGACATCCAATCCTATAACTGGATTCCGTCCCTACCTTTATATATACTGAGAAGACACAAATTTCTCTGCTACATAGTTTTACAGAGCATTATTTGCCCTGCCCTCCCTCCCTGAGTGTGACCATGGACTCCGTTCTCACTTAGTCCTATTTTCAAAGACAATCTTAGTGTCTGTAGGGAAAATTCAGCTCAGGACCCCCAAGGCCAAGTTCACAGCACAGAGGAGATGTATTTGCCCAGCAGGACAAAAGGCAAGGAATAAGAGACAAAGACAGGAGACAGAGGGGGAAGGGAATGAGGGAGAGAGAGAAGGGGTGTTTGTCCTGGGGGTGGACAAGAAAAAGAATTGCCTCTGGATAAAGAGGAGAAAGATATGACCCATAGGCACACAATGATTTATAAAGGTAGAGAAGGGGACTCCAGTTAGGATGAGGTGTTCAGTTTTAATTGGGCACATTAATTAGGTGAGCCAAAGGGGGCTTTTGGTTGTTGGGCTTCGATTCTTTGACAGCTTTGCACAGAGTGGAGAAGGCAGCCTCAGCAGGAGGGAGTGGCCAAATAAGGGAATAGACCTTGGGAACTAACTTTAGCAATGTAATCTAATGGTTTTTAGCAAAGCTGAGGGAATGGGGGAGAAGGGCAAGGCCTGCCAGGGCCATGTTTGCCATGCTCAGGGTGGCTAGATACCCTTCAGCCTCAGTATGCAACACTAACTAAATTTCTCACCTGCATTCCCATAAGTTTTATCTTTCTAGTCAGTTCCAAGGATCACTGTTGTATCTGAACAACACCAAAAGAGAGTGGTCATCTTGAAAGAACTTTTCATCTTCTCTGAACTCATTTCTCCTGAGTCCTTCATCTAAATCTAATGACCCCAGCATTCAATCCCAGGTGGGAAGAGGGCCTGTTGGAAGTCTCTGCAAATTCATAGTAATGACATCTTGAGCCAATAAGGAAACCTTTGTGAGCCTATTTAGCAGAGAACCCTGAGGTCAGGCAGACACCAGTCAAAGGACACACATGTTGCAGATCTTCGACACAGGCAAGATGTAACTGCTGTGTGTGCCCAGGCTGTACCTGTTTGCCTTCTCCACTCTGTGCAAAGCAACCTTGCAGTGATCAGAGTTTGCAAACAGTGGTTTTCTTTCTGTTTAAGCCCTGGGTACCAACCTTTCTCTCCATGGATGTCGACGGCCGGGTGATCAGAGCTGACAGCTTCTCAAAGATCCTCTCCTCTGGGTAAGGCTTTCATCTCTAATGTGAAGTCAGCCTCAAATCTCTTAGTTCAAGACCTTCTCATTCAGAAGACTTGTAGTCGGTACGCCTGAAAATACACTTGATCGTTAATAGGCATAAGTGTGTTTTACTTCAGTATTATTCTTACAATGGGTACTATGATTTCCAGTGTTCAAAGATGCTTGGCTAGGAATCTAAGTTGTAGGAGGATGGTCAGCATTTTGGAAACTGGTATTAGAATACCATGGTTAGAAATTCTTAGTAATACTTGCGTTACCTTATCATGCATAATCAATGTAGGTGTTTTCTAAGTAAGTACTTTGGTTAGAATATTTAAGTCATCAAGATCTATTTGTCACCAGGTCATCACTCTTTTCCTAGTGAAATCAGCAAAATGATTCCCATTACTTGTTGATGTGTGGTATAAACCCTTTTCTCTTTCTCTGTAGGTTGAGAGTAGGGTTTATGACGGGCCCCAAGTCCTTGATAGAGAGGATTGTTTTACACACACAAGTCTCATCACTACATTCCTGCACTCTCTCACAGGTAATGCAATTTAGCGTTGGGTTTTGTTTGTCCTTAATCAGAATCAGCTGTAGGCAAGTAAGATTAACTTAAGTTGACCGGGAAGAAAAATAAAATGCTGAATATCCATTTCCAAGACAGAGTTGGAAGACTAGCATCTGCAGAGGTCAAATCTAAGCAGCCAGTGAGAAACCATTTAAGCTAGTGTAGTCATTCTGCCTGCCCAGAGTCCTCATGAATCTGGGCATACTCATATGTGTCTCTGGAAGAACACTAAAAGTGAGCCAATTAACAAGCATTTAAAAAAACCCCTATAGGACTCTAAACAAAATAGAACCTCAGATCCGAATTGGATGAAGTAATTCAACCATTGGCTTCCTTGTGTTTGATGTGAAAAAAGCAAGCCTGGTTAGTGTCTTCCTGTCCATCCCTCAGCTGCTCCTAATCAGAAAGTATTTTAATTAAAATAAGCTAAGTAGGGAGACTGTATAAATTTCCTCTCAAGCTTTGAAAAGGTGCTGGTTTTGGAAACTGTTATAGCCTAGAGGATTAGATTTTGCATCTGCTCATGCCTGTGTACGTGTGTGGATGCAGGTGAGTAGACATGGGTGCATCCCTGTGTACACATCAGAGGTTGGCTCCAGATGTCTTCCTTAACTGCTCTCCACATCATTTTTTGAGGCAAAGTCTCTCATTTAACCTGGAGCTCATCTATTTGGCTATACTGGCTGGCCCAAAAGCACATGGATCCTCCATTTTAAATAGAAAATCTTTAAATATTTAATAGAGTACACATGCTGTATACATTTGGAGAACTACGGATATAACTCAGTGATACACACTCACACACACACACACACTTGGCAATCATTTAGTCTTGGGTTTGATCCCTCACACCACCCAAAAGGAAAGAAAGAGACTATATGTTTTCAATTTGCAGAGGCATTGTAGTCCAGTAGTCAATAGCATGGATCAGGAGCTAGAAAATCTGTCTTGGAATCCAAACTCTGTGATCAGTTTGAAACAAAGAATTATCCTTTGTGTTTCAGTTTCCTTACCAGAAAGAAAGAAAAAAATGAACTAACCTTCCTTAATTATTATCAAATATCAAGTTTCATATTTACAGATCTATTTTAAAAAATCACGGTAGAGCTTAGAATATAATAAAGTTCTGGATTTAAGGGTGTTTTGCTTTGTTTTTTGTTTTGTTTTGTGTGTCTATATGGTCATTTCTGTGTGCATGAACACCTATAGACCAGAGGTAAACATGGTAAACAGCAGGTGTCTTTTCTTTTCTTTTTAAAACAAGATACCTCACTGAACCTACAGCCTCAGGAATCCCCCTGATCCTTCCCCCAGCACTGGAGTTATCACTGCACACCGTTATGCTCAGCTTTCTGCAAAGGTGCCAGGGTCTCAGGTCAGGCCCACATGCATTATTAGCTGAACCCGCTGGGCACTGTCGTCCTGGCTTTCATTGGGAGTCTACTGAAGTCACGGATGTGACCCAGGCTCCTTGTTGCATCTCCCTGTGTGTTTTCATAGACGCAGGAGTGGTTGCCTTCTGTGATTAGTGCAACCTTGGTTTTGAGAATGAACTGCGATATCACATGAGGCTGTCCTCTCTCTTTCAGCTCATGATATCACAGCTTCTGTACCAATGGGGAGAAGACGGCTTCCTGGCTCACGTTGACAGGTTGGCTGTTAAAATATTTGTGGGCAACATAGGTGCTCAGAACACAAAGTACAAACCATCCTGAGTACTGATTTATTATTCTTCCTTCTCTTTTAAAGATTTGTTTTCAGTCTGTGTGTATGAATGTTTGCTTGTATATATATATATATATTTGCACATCACAGACCTGGTGCTTGGGAGACCAGAAAAGGGGGCTGGATCCCCAGGAACAGAGTTACAGCCTGTTGTGAACTAGTTAGGAGATGGTTATATGCTGATGTGTATGTGCTGGAAACCATACCGGGTCCTCTGCAAGAGTAACAACTGTTCTTAGCCAAGGAGACATCTCTCCATCTCCTTATCCTTCCTTCTGCAATGTCCACAGTCACACCAACACAACAACTTTTTGTTGTAATAGCTTTTCACATGAAGTCTCCTCAGCGGCATTCAAGGTCTGGCCTGAACTATTAGGGTTCGCAGTTTTAGCTGAAAAGCTATCCACATGTGTAAACATCCTATCTGATAATCAGCTAAGGACACGTGCCTTGGGAACTGATCTAAGTAAGAATGAGTGAAAGCGCACACTTTGCCTGGTCAGTATAATGAGGCAAGTCATGAATTGTTTTTGTCATGTACATGTGTGCTTCCTGACCCACTTAGAAGCCAGCAGAAACAGGGTGCCCTCTTTCCCAGACTAGTGACTCAGCATCTCAATTCAGTTTCCTTTCATCTCAAGTGCTATCTGTCATTGAAAATTACATGACTTCAGTCAACCAAACACAAAGGTCTATCCTGCTACTTTCTACATCTAGATTCTATATTTTATATAGAAAGGGACTTTGCTCTTCTCACTTTTACACTTCACCTTCTCTATAATAAAGGGGGAAATAATTTTTTTATTTTTTTCAGCACAGGTGTCAAAGCAGTAAGTGTTCTTATGAAGCAGTCAATATTTCAATCAAAGCAGAAAAAAAATTCTTACAGGCTGGAGTCAGAGGTTTTCCTGTGTCTGGTTCAGGCCTCAATGTCACTGTCATTTGTCTTCTAGAGTCACTGATTTCTACAGGGACCAGAGGAATGCGATATTGGCAGCAGCAGACAAGTGGTTGAGTGGTGAGTGAGGAGCATCTGGAGTTAACTAAACATAAACAGTAGCATCCCCAGAATGGATGCAGACACATGTGACCAGCTTGGTGTGTGAGACACAGCAGAGTAGGTGCTTTCTTGCCAAGGAAATGTTGCCCTAAGGATAAATCTGTCTTGGAATCCAAACTCTGTGATCAGTTTGAAGCAAAGAAAATTAACCTTTGTGCTTCAGTTTCCTTACCAGAAAGAAAGAAAATGAACTAACCTTCCTTAGTTATTGTCAAGTATCAGTCATGGTAGAGCCTGGAATATAATAAAGTTCTGGATTTGAGGGTGTTTTCCTTTGAACCACCTCGACAACCCTTGAGTTCTGTGGTCTCTGCCATACGGTGCCAGATTTTTTTTAAACACAAGGCCCCATGTATCCCAGGCTAGCCTTGAACTTCTGATCTTCCACCTCCACTTCCCAAGTACTGAAATTGTATATGTGTTCTGCCTCACCCAGTTTACGAGGCACTGGCAATGGGACCTGGGTCTCATGTTCAAGGCAAGCACTCTACCAACTGGGCTACAGTGTCAACCCCAGATTTTGTAGTTCTAAGAAGATTTAAAAAAAACTAAGTCAAAAATTTAGCAAGCGGTATTACCTACAGCTGAATAAAAACCATCTTCAGCAAAAACTTTCAGAAATTTTTAGTTGTTTCAAAATTTTGTTCCCCAAATATTTTGTTTCTAACTAAAACAAATAAAAACAAGTGGTATAGTATGATTTTGAACTTTTAAATTTATTAAAATTCTTTCTCCTATTCATTAGCCACACATATATGTTTAATATTTTCTATGATTGCTTTGAATTTAGGATTTTTTTTACTACAGAAACATGTCAGATAAAATACCCTTAAAAGTGCATATGATATAAAGATTAGTAAATCAAAACTATCAATGCCTATGTCTGTCATATATCATTCTCTGTAAAGTCTTCATTTAAAACAGAATTATATCTGTATGATAGGTGTGCTTTCCTGCCAATTTATAAAGGAATTATGACAAAATATTAATAACAAGAGTATTTAAGTAATTAAAATCAAAATAATTGTCCTTTCTTCTTAGTTCTTGTATCATAATATTCACACATAAAGCTTGTAGGTGGACCTGGTATTCTTGGATTTTAGTACTTTTATCCTAATTGATTACATTTCTACAGAAATTAATCCATCTGGGCATCCAAACCATTACCTAAATAATGGGATTTATGAATCCAAGGGGACTCCAGAAAGAACTGAAGAATCAGTGTTAAAATTGGAACAGCCCATTTGTTGTCTTAGGTGTGTGAGTCTAACTGAGTGACAGAGAGACACACTGAATTTCTTGCTCTGAGACACACAGAAGCCACTGTCTCCCTACATTCAGCACCTTACCCCATCACTAAGCTTTTTAAATAAACCCAAACATCATTATGGGGGAAATCTCATCAAATTGTATTTTTTAAGATGCTTTCACAGAAACAAATTATCTACAAGTACGTCCTTGCTTACAATCACTGCACCTATACTGTTGGAACTGTGAGTTTGGTGTCATCGGAAATGTCTAGAAGATGCTGTCTTCTTGTAGATTTGGCAGAGTGGCATGCTCCCAAAGCTGGGTTGTTTCTATGGATCAAAGTTAAGGGAATCTCCGATACACGACAACTGATTGAAGAAAAGGCTATCGAAAAAGAGGTAAAAGAGGGAGGTGGCCAACAGAAAATGTATACTGTTTCTTTGAACTAATTTTCTTTGAGTGGAATGAAAGATACTTTATGACCCAGACACATGTGATGTTGAAATATTAGGTTGGAATATTGTCTCATCATTAAATTGTAATAAAATTTGAAATTACAATTCAGATGGGCTAGACTGATAGAAATACAGTAATTCTCCTCAGTGACTGGATTGGTTTTGATTTCAAAGTCACTCCTTACCACATATGTAGCTTTGGATATCCAACATTCCTTGTGACTTATTGATAAAGACAATAAGAACCCCTTTCCTGGGCCAGCAAGACAGTCAGGCAGGTAATCCTGATGTCTTCTATTGCTGTGAAGAGACACCATGACCAGAGCTACTCTTACAAAGGACAACATTTAATGGAGTGGCTTACATTTTCAGAGGTTCAGTCCATTACCATCGGGGTAGAACAAAGTGTATGCATGTCTAGGATGAAGAAGGGCAGTGCCCAGTCACTCACCTGTCCCTGCCACCATGGTCGTTGACAAGAGTAGTTTGCTGTTTTGGCACCCCATTTTGACACACTAATATTTTTATATGTTTTATGCATTAAACATTTGTATCCTTTTAGTTTCCTGAAACATACCATTTCCTTCCTATCCCAAGGTCTTTACACTTCAAGGCTTTTCCCTAAGATACTTGTCCCTACTCTTTGTTAGGTCAATATCTAGTTGGTTTTTGGGTCCCAGTTAGAAATCTCAATGTTTGCATTCATATTACTTTTGTAGCTAGGTTAACCACCTATTTTTATTTTACCATTTCTTCCTACCCCATCCTCTGCACATTAAAACTTAAATTTTGGTGCTTTCTTCTCATTTTCTATGCATTCTTTGTATGTGGAGAAGAAACAGCATTGGTCATATGGGTGACAAATACTTTTTTTCTAATTCTGTGCACTCAGGTTTGTCTATCATGTGCCATATGTATTTTTGTATGATATCTTTGTTCCCTATGGGAATTCATTATTTCCATAATGGCTTTTAAACTTAAAGTATTCCTCCCCACAGAAATACTGCCTTTGTGTACATTTTCTTTAAGTTTTCCTTCAGTGCTGTAATCGCCTATTTTCTGCAACCTTTCACAGGTCTTGTTTGTTCCTGGAAATGGTTTCTTCATCGACAGCTCAGCCCCCACCTCCTTCTTCAGAGCAGCCTTCTCTCTGGTTACTCCAGATCAGATGGACTTAGTGAGTATGCGCTTCAGTCACACAGCCTCCTAGAATTTAACGTCTGTCTACACTTCTGAAAGTCGTATTTTAGTGAAGCCGTCGTGAACTGTAGGCAATTGCAACTAAACTGGAGTTGAAGTTTGCCGTCTACAAGTAACTGAGCAGAACTTACTGAACTGTACTGGGGCAGGGGTGTCCAACAGGCTCTGGGGCAATACCTTTTCCTTCCTTTCTAATCACATAAATGAATAGTAAAATCTCTGAAGAAAAAAGAACTAAAAATATCCTTAGAACTGTGTGCAGAGAAACCTAAGAGGAAGAGCTACTAACCAAGCACTGTCCTTGACCTTCCGAACTCTGTGTGTCTGTGTCTATGTGTGTGTGTGTGTGTGTGTGTGTGTGTGTGTGTGTGTGTGTGTGTGTGTGTAGGACAGGTTCCCTGCATGACCTGTCTTTACTTTAGAATGTGTGTCTGGAAGGTGGTGTGTGTATAGAACAGGTTCCCTGTGTGTCCTGTCTTTGCTTTAGAAGTGTGTGAGTGTGTGTGTCTGTGTGTCTGTGTGTGTGAGTGTGTCTGTGTGTCTGTGTGTGTGTCTGTGTGTGTGTCTGGTGTCTGTGTGTCCGTGTGTCTGTGTGTCTGTATGTGTGTGTCTGTGTGTGTGTCTGTGTGTGTGTGTCTGTGTGTGTGTCTGTGTGTCCGTGTGTCTGTGTGTCTGTATGTGTGTGTCTGTGTGTGTGTGTCTGTGTGTATGTGTCTGTGTGTGTGTCTGTGTATGTGTCTATGTGTGTGTGCCTGTGTGTCTGTGTGTGTGTGTGTCTGTGTGTGTGTGTGTCTGTGTGTCTCTGTATTTGTGTGTCTGTGTGTGTTACGAGAAGCTTTTTCCTTGAGAAGGAGCCGTTCCGCCAGCCTGGTTCCAGAGCCACATCAGTCCCAAATAAACACACAGGAGGCTATATGAATTATGAAGCTGTTGGCCTTGCTTGTTTCTTACTGGCTAGCTCTGACTTAAGTAATTACCCCATAATTGTTAATCTAAGTATGTCTCTTACCGGAGAATAGTTCCAGGCTTCCTACCCCCATGGCGTTACATGTTGACTCTCTGTGTTTCTTCTTCCCAGAATCCTCCTGGACTCCTAGCCCCACCTATCTAGATTCCTATAGGCTCAACAGTATTTTATTGGCAAATAACAGGCAAATAACAGGACTTGCCCAACATCTCCTCTTTTCTGTTTAAACAAAAGAAAGGTCTTAACTTTAACATAGTCAAATTGTATATGACAGAACAGTTATCAAGTGTGTCTGTGTGTGTGTGTCTGTGTGTGTGTCTGTGTAAGTGTCTATGTGTGTGTGCCTGTGTGTCTGTGTCTGTGTGTGTGTCTGTGTGTGTGTCTGTGTGTCTCTGTGTCCGTGTGTCTGTGTGTCTGTATGTGTGTGTCTGTGTGTGTCTGTATTTGTGTGTCTGTGTGTGTCTGTGTGTGTATGTCTGTGTGTGTGTGTCTGTGTGTGTATCTGTGTGTGTGTGTCTGTGTATCTGTGTGTGTGTGTCTGTGTGTGTGTCTGTGTGTGTGTGTCTGTGTCTGTGTCTATGTGTCTGTGTGTCTGTGTCTATGTGTCTGTGTGTGTCTGTGTGTCTGTGTCTATGTGTATGTGTGTCTGTGTGTATCTGTGTGTGTCTGTGTGTCTGTGTGTGTGTGTGTGTGTGTACACCAGGACAAGCCCCCGCATGTCCTCTGTTTACTTGCTTCCTGTACTACTAATATGCTGTCCCTAAGCTTGCCCTGCTTTATAAGTAAACAGATTTGAGCATACAAAACTGTATGCTAAATTTTCAGATGAGAAAAGCATGAAAATGCAAAATATTTAAAGTAATAAAATAGAAAATGATGCATGAACATTCTAATTTTAAAAATTTGGAAGTTCGTGTAAGCCTGGTATATACTTACCCACATCTCAATGGCTCCTGAGGGCATTCTGCCCAGATAAATCTGCTGTCTAACTTATTTTTCACAGCCTCATCCCATCTTCATATGGCTATGCCACTTAAATCTCCAGAATTTTGAAAGAGTTTCCCAAAGTACATCCTAATTTCTTCAATTTTTTATTTCAATATTGAAAATCTTTCTTTTTTTATAGGTTCTCAGTTTTATTCAGCATGGGAAAAATGTTTCTTTTGTGTACTTGAGCTAATTTCTTCAATTCTTATCCCCTTCCTATTTTAGGCCTTCCAGAGATTGGCCCAACTCATAAAGGAGTCATTATGAAGAGATCTAAGCATTGTACTCACAATTTTAAATATATTATTTCCATATTTTTCTGAAGAAATGCTTCTTGCTGTTTGACAGAATGGATCCTGTTCATGAAACATGTTACATTTGCGTGTCTGTAGCAATTTAACCCAACAACTTTCAAGTGCCTCTAAGTCCACCATACTGCCAAAAGATTTTTTCTAATCTGTTGGGCCCCAGCCCAAAAGGGGTCTCTGTGAGTTATTTGTCAGCCAATAACCACAGGTGCATCCTGTTTTCTAGTCCTGGCTCACAGCCCTGGCCTTGCCCCATTGGCATCAACCTCTAATTATGAAAACGTGAGCTCTTACACCTGGGGTTTCTCCACTGTGCTGTAAGTCTGTATAGAAGGCTGCTCGCTCCTTGCAATTAACACACACACACACACACACACACACACACACACACACACACACACACACATTCTCTTAGCACAAATGGCTGGACAGCTAGTCTTTCATTTAAATCTCCAGGTTCTCGTCTGATACATTAGATTTGCTCGTGGTGCAGAAGCCACACTGATCTTTTGCCTTTTGATTAATTTTCAACTCCCAAAAGATTAGATTTTATTGCAGTTGTGAAGACTGCTATAGCTGCTTTATAATGTCCAATAAATCCTTCTTGAAATTAACTTTATGCTGAATTTTCAAACTGCAAGGAAATTGGTTAAAATGGTACATATTATGCACTTTTTTCTATTCCTTGAACATTTATTGTAAAAAAAAGTTGTAATTTGGCAAGTAAAAGTTACTTTGCAACCTTTCATGATACCAAAGAAATCGCTTTAAAATTCTGAAGCTAAGCATGCCAAAATGAAGAATCATACATGTTATTTCCAAGGGAGAAGGGAGAAATTGCAGTCTTAGAAAACCTTACTTATAGCTGTAATAAGTAATATTAGAACAGTGAAAGCACTGTGTATAATGTTCTACCACCAAAACAGGGGTCCAAGCTGTGTCTGATACTTTTGATGACATTATTATATTGATTGGAAAGATCTAGAGAATAGCTTGGAAAGAGACACGTATGACTGGTAATTCTGGTCCCTTGCAGAACTTAAGTCCATATTTGCCCTTTAATAGGAACAAAAAAATGTTATGGTGTCCTATGCAAAAGGGAAGTGCTTCAAATTGCAAGGAAAACTGAAATACGGCCCCTTCTTCAGAAGAATGAGTGAGTCTACTATAGTCCCCAGGTCCAGTCATAAACACAGTCAGGACAGATAACAGGAGCTGGATCCATCCAATCTACAAGCTGAACCAAAGAGGATGAAGAACATGGAATTAGTACACATGTTCAGCAGCACTCACTGCAGATGCACAGACCAAGAAGTTAGCATTGCTAGAAAAAGACTCTCAGCAGAATAGGGCTTTGTGTGTTTTGTAGAATAACTTCTCCTTTGTGGCATAGACCTTTAACTTGGCCCCAGGTAAGCTTGGCAGACTTGACTTCTGATGATATGGTCCACATCTCCTTTTGTCCTTTATCTGGAATTTTATGTTTCTGGTGACTTACACTGTTCCCTGCCCTTCCCTATAATTCTTGATAGCCCAGGGCTGCAGAAGCTAAGGAGGAATCCATGTTTTGGTGGCTCTATTTGCAATTACAGATATATACCCCTTCCCAAATTTCTTCTGGGGAAGTAAAGATCGGCCAAGTTAATGCATCAGATTGCTTATTTTCTACTGCAATAAAACCAGGGAGGTTAGAGTGTATAAAGTTATGAGTAATAAACAAAGGATGTGTGTGGGTTTGAACCAGATGTTGGGTTTAAGGGTTTATGAATTATCCATAATAAATGAATCAAAACAGCTAGTTCCACTGGGTGAGCTGAGGAAAAAGGGATATTAATATATTGTTGAATATCTGGACCAGGAATCCCTCCTGTACCTTTAGATGATCCATCCTCTTATGTTATAATACCCATAGGAGACAATTGAGTGGGTAAAATAACTAAGTTGAAAGGCGGTGAAGGATCCACGCAACACACAAATGCTTCTTTTGATCTGGAATCTTTTCTTGCCTCTCAAAATAATATGGGAGGACTATCCAATGCCATCTTTGCTTCTAAAGTTTTAAGTAGATTGGTTAGTGAATTGCAAACACCAAGCTCAGCGCAAAAGGCCAGGAAGGAATTGGGAAATGAATCCCCCCCCATGCCCTAACATGCCAAGGTTATAAAATTAGTTTTTTCATAGTCCTCACCAAAAAAGTGGAGGGAATTCAAGATTAGACCTATTATCAAATCCCTCACCTCGGAAGTATTTTCAAGTAACTCTTTGTCTCATTTATTCTTTATATTTTGTTGTTGCTTTTTTTATTTCATTGATTTCAGCCCTGAATTAGATTATTTCTTACTGTCTACTCTTTTTGGGTGTGATTCCTTCTTTTTGTTCCAAAGATTCCAAGTTGCTACTATGAGATCTCTCCAGCTTTTTTTTTTTTCATGTGGGCACTTAGAGCTATGAACTTGCCTCTGAGAATAGCCTTCATTGTGCCCCACAAGTTAGGGTATGTTGTATATTCACTTTCGTTGAATTCTAGAAAGTCTTTAATTTCCGTCTTGACCCATTTTTCATTCAGTAGAGAGTTGTTCACTTTCCATGATTGTAAGCTGTCAGTTGTTTCTGTTGTTGTTGAGATTCAGCTTTAATCCAGGTGGTCTGCTAGGATGAAAGGTATTATTTCAATTTTCTTGTATCTGTTGAAACTTCCTTTGTGTCTGAGTATGTGGTCAATTTTGGAGAAAGTTCGATGAAGTGCTGAGAAGTAGGCATATTCTTTTGAGTTTTGATAAAATGTTCTGTAAATACCTGTTAGGTGTATTAGGCTTAAAAAATCAGTAAACTCTAGCATTTCTCTAATTAGTTTTTGTATGAATCATCTGTCTATTGGTGAGAGTGGGGTATTGGAGTATGTGAGGGTCAATATATGATTTAAGCTGTAGTAGTATTTCTTTTACAAACTTGGGTGCCCTTGTGTTTGAGGCAGAGATATTAAGAATTGCAATGTCCTCCTGTTGGATTTTTCCTTTGATGAGTATATAGATAGTGTCCTTTCTTACCTCTTCTGATTAGTATTGAAGTCTATTTTGCCAGGTATTAAAATGGATACAGGAGCTTCTTTCTGAGGTCCACTTGCTTAGAATATTGTTTTCCAACGCTTTATCCTGAGGTGATTTCTATCTTTGATGTTAAGATGTTTTCTTGCATGCAGCAGAAGGATGGGTCCTGTTTTGTCATCTACTCTGTTTGTCTGTGTCTTTTCATTAGTGAATTGATACCATTGATGTTGAGAGATATCAATAACCAATGATTGTTGGTTCCTGTCATTTTGCTGTTGTTGTTTCTGCTGTGATGTTGGTGTTGGTGGTAGTGATGATGGTGGCGGTGGTGGTGATGGTGGTGGTAGTGGTGGTGTGTGTGTGTGTGTGTGTGTGTGTGTGTGTGTGTGTGTGTGTTTCCTTTCTTTTAACTTTGCTGGTCTAATATTATATTCTTTGACTAAGGTACCCCTCTCTTCTATTGTGTCTTCAATGCCTGAGAATTAATTTTCCATCTTTTGTATTCTATTGGTGAAGCTTTCTCTCTGTGGTTCCTGGTCAAGTACCTAAATTTTCCAGATTTCCCTTTGTTTGGGTTTTCTATATTGATTCTATTTATACTTTCAGGTGTTGACCTGTTTCATTCATTTCCTTCCATTGCTTGTGTTTTCACTGATTTCTTTGAGTGATTTATTCAATCCCCCTTTAAATACCTCTATCATATTCACAAAGGCTTTTGCTTATGCTTCAGTCATGTTGGACTATTCAGGGCTGGATGTGGTAAAGTTGCTGGACTCTAGTGGAGACATATTTTCCTGGATGTATTGACTGTGTTTTTATGCTGACATCTAGGCATCTGGGATTGGGATGGTTATAATTCTAGGTGCTGATACCTGGTCTTGTCTTTGTTGGATGAATGTTTTGTTCCTTGGTTTCCATTTCTCCTCTGTTTCTTATGAGAGTGTGGTGGCTGTGTGATGGTGCTTGGTAGGAAAATTTCTGCAGTCCTGATATGTGTGGCCACTGGGAGTTCCAGATAAAGTGTGTTAAGGGAATTGTGTCTTGACACTTAGGAATAGCGGTGGACTTTGGACAGTGCGGGTGGGTGGTTTCTACAAGAGGGAGGAAGTAAGGTTATTCCATCAGCCAGGATCTGCTTAGGTAGCCCCCTGGGAATGGAGGCAGAGAATGAAGAGAGCCACAGCAGAAAGTCTGCTACAGAGCTGGGAATGAGACTTGGTGATTGAACTTGGAGGAATGGAGGAAGAAGTGAAGATCTGATTGCTTCCCCAGCCTTCCCTTCCCTGTGTGGCCAGTACTTTCCCAGGGAACGCCTGCTGGAGTCAGGGGCAGGGGTTATGCAATGAGGGGTGGGGGGAAGTTAGGAGGGGAAGATCTGTGGGATCCACTAAAGATGAGATGAGGGAGAGGCTGAAGGTGTTCTCTTGCACAGCTGAGGATGGGATGGGGGGATGTGATTTTAAGAAGCAGAAGGAGCAGTGAAGGTGTAGTCAGCCTACCTGATTCTCTGGTCAGAGTAAAAGCCTTACTTCCTAAGAGAAAGAATACAAGCATCCAATCATATTACTATATCATTTAAGTTTTTGTAACTGAATCCCACATTGTGACCAGGTTACTGGTGCTCACATAAAGCGAGATTCAAGGTGCTGTAGGTAAATACCCAGTTCAGACTCCCACAATCCATGCCAACGCCATGTGATCCTGGCAGACTTTGGAGATACAGAGCTGGCTTAGTGAGGTGCAGGCTCATCTTGAGTCAAATGAGGTGAAGTTTGGAACATGAGACTTGGCATACCAAGAATAGATGGAAGCATATTTCTGCTGACATGTTTCAAATGATCTGCTGGAATTTGCTCTCAAGATAAGGAAGGGGATCTCAGGGTCAGTGAACTGTGCTTCACTGTTCTATACATATAGGGAAGTGCTTCTTGCTATACAGTATTGTAAATATAGTAGAGACATTGTTTCATAGGGGGAGACATCTCCTGATGACTTGTGTGGTAATGTGGGTTTGAAGATTATAAAACAGCTTCTATAAGCTTGTGTATAAAAGTTCTGCAAAAGATAGATCCATGTCTATCACCATGCACAAAACTTAAGTCCAAATGAATCAAAGACCTCAACATAAATTCAGCCACACTGAACCTCTTAGAAGAGAAAGTGGGGGTACCCTTGAATGGATTGATACAGGAGACAGCTTCCTGAATATAACACCAGTAGCACAGACACTGAAGTTGACAACAAATGGAGCCTCCTGAAACTGAGAAGCATCTGTAAGGCAAAGGACACAGTCAACAAGACAAAAAGGTAGCCCACAGAATGGGAAAAGATATTCACTAACCCCACATCTGACAGAGGGCTGATCTCCAAAATTTACAAAGAACTCAAGAAGCTATTCTCCAAAACACCAAAGGATCTAATTAAAAAGTGGGCTATAGAACTAAATAGAGAATTCTCAATAGAGGAGTCTAAAATGGCTGAGAGACACTTAAGAAAGTGCTCAACATCCTTAGCCATTAGGAAAATGCAAATCGAAACAACTCTGAGATTATCATCTTACTCCTGCC